GGGGGGAGAGGGGGGAGGAAAGGCGAGGGGCTATTCATGGTCTGCCCCCGGAGCGGTGGACATGTCCCCAGGCGGGGCAAGAAAAATGCCGCCCCCCCGCCCCCCCCCCCCTACTCCAGCCTCCAGCGGCCTGGGAAACCCACAGCCACCCGGCTTCCGACTGTGTCCCGCGAGAGGAGGCAGGGCACACGCCTCCAAACGAATGCATTTTCACGTCGGCTAAAGTGCACAAACACAGCGCGCCAACCATGGCCGCCGAAGTGGCGGCAGCATCTTGTGGCGGGGGCGCGCAATGCACAGGGCTCACACCGCCGCCCGGGGGCCAGCCGAAAAACGGCCTGCCCGGAGGACCGGACCAGACTGGACCGGATGGGGTGCGGCCGGGAGAGGAGGGCGGGGGGAGCACGCGTCCCCCGCCCCGCCGAGTTTCCCGCACACAAGCGCCGATGGCCTGGGGTCGTCGATCGCCAGACGCGAATTGGTGCCGGAAAGGCCCCCGGCGTATCCTTGGACGAAGGGCACCTTTTGTAACACCCCGCCGCAGCGAGAACCCCCAAGTCGAGTGCCGTGGGACGCGGTGTCCGCTCTCGCGAAGCCGGCCGGGAGGCGGCCGGGAGGGGGGGGGGGGGGGGGGGGGGGGAACTCGTGAGCGCAGGCCCTTCCCCCGTCCCCCGCTCCAGTGGAACCTCACCCGATCCGGTCGACATTGCTTCCGGGCCCTCCGTCGGCAGCTGGCCCGGGGCGTCTAAGGATCCGGCTGATATCGTGATTCGCGCGTGACCGGGTACAGGGAAGGAGTCACGAGCAGCCCTGCCCTCCTCTGCGTATCCCCACACACCTGTAACTTGAGCCCCTCAGCGGGGGGGCGGGGGGCAGGAGAACACTGAGGCCGAAAAAGCGGCACGGATATGCAGAAAAGGGGCCAAGGAAATGGAAAGAGGGGGACATATATTTATTCATATGGTGTTTTCTTCGAGGGAGGGGCAAACAAGAGGACGAGACGACGGTCCAAGAACTGTGCCCATATATCACTGCCTGCGGGTCTCGCGCGCTCCTCAAGGAGGAATGGCCATGCACAGGGCACGACCACAATGCACCACGGTCGTGGGGCATCATCATAATGTGGGCCGGCTCCCCTGGCCGCCCCGCCAGGTCCTTTCCCCGCCTCCCGAGCGCTAAATTATTCTGCGGGGTGTCACACTGCGTCCAGCGGCCTCGCCCCCCTCCCCCCTTCCCCGGGGGGGGGGGGGGGGGGGGCCGGACGGGGCCGGCCGGGGGGATGAGCAAGAGCGGGCCAGCCCCGGACTGCGCGCGAACGCGAGCCCCTCGTTCCGTATGTTGGCTCCGCTCGCCCCGGCCCCGGCCCCGCGCGGGTCGACGCCAGACGGCACCCCTGCCCTGGCAGAGCCCCGCATGCTCCTGCCAGCAGGGGGCGTGGCAGCGGGGGGAGACTGACCGCGGGTATGTGCCATCTGGCCGGCCCAGGAAGACGCCAGGTCGCGAAGGTAGGCCCCCCCGTCCCCAATCCGGAAAACAGCCACAAACCTACACCCACACACCCACCCTTACACACATACATACGACGTAGTCCCTCCCCCTAGCCTCACACCTGACGGAGGCAAAGCTACCGCCCGGGGCGACTTCCCGCACCCCGGCAGGGGTCCAAGGGAGGCCGGGATCAGTTGGGCAGCCCAGTCGCCCCCTGTATCTCCCCGGCGCCCGGACCCCACGCCCCCTCCGCTCCCTCCGCCGCTCTCTCTCTCTCTCTCTCTCTCTCTCTCTCTCTCTCTCTCTCGCCCGCTCGTTTCCCGTCTCCCCCGTCTCCCCTCTGCCCCTCTTTGTGGCCCTCTCTGGCCCTCCTCCCCCCCCCTCTCTCTCTCTCCCCTGATTCCTCGCCTCCCGAATCCACACCGAGTCCGCCATGGAGATTCGCTTCGGGGCCTCGCTCTCACAAAACTCCTCCTTCCGCCGCACGATGGAGGACACCTATGTCGTGAAGGCGGACCTTGCAGTTGACTACCCGTCGGTCGGGTCGAAAAACTTCCTGGTCGGCGTGTTTGATGGCCACGGCGGGGCCAAAACCGCCCTGCACACGGCCGAGGTCCTTCCCGAGGTGCTGGCCGACCAGCTGCGCGCTTTGGCAAGTCTCAACAGCGGCAGCCAGGAGGACTCCAGCGCATCGGACTCCGAGCCGTCGGACTCCGAGGCGGCCACCGCGCCAGAGACCGGTTCCCCCTCCGAGCAGGCCGATGCCGGGGCCAGCGTCAATGCCAGCCCCGAGGCCAGGCCGATGGCCACCAATTCCGGGGCCGGGTCCACGCCGCAGTTCACCGCTGCCCATGCCATTGACCGCGCCTTCGCGCGCATCGACGAGCAGCTGGCCAATGACAATGTCCGACTTCCCGGGTCCGCGGTGGCTGTTTGCCTGCTGACCGAGGACCCGACGGCCGGCCGCCGGATCTTGACCGTCGGCAATCTCGGCGACGTGAAGGCCGTCCTGATCCCCGGGCCGTTGGACATTTTCCGGTCCCCCCCGGCCGAGCTGGCCTCGCGCCCGGTGTACGACCTGTCGCTGGACCACACGCCGCGCGATACGGACGAGCGCGACCGGGTCCTGCGCGATGGTGGCCTGGTGTTCCGCAATCGCGTGGGCGGTGTGCTGGCCGTGAGCCGGGCCCTGGGCGACCTGTCGCTCAAGCCGGCGGTCTCGGTGCGGCCCTTCACCGTGGAGTTCGACCTGGAGCAGGTCCTCCGGGCCGAGGGCGCCACCGAGGGTCTGCTGGTGGTGGCCTCCGATGGCCTGTGGAATGTCTTCAAGTCGGACGACTTGGCCGCCGAAGCCCTGTCCTTCTTCGAGCGCAAGGCCGGCCGCGGGGGCACCGGCCCCGCCGGCAGCCCAGACCCCATGGCCACCGCGGCGACCGCCACCGACGAGGATCTGGACTCGGCTGACCTGGCCGACGGCGAAGACAGCCTCTGCCACCAGCTGGCCGACCATCTGGTCAAGACATCCATCACTTCCGGATCCATGGACAACATCACGGCCGTGGTGGTCCGAGTGACCCTCCCGCCTGTTACTTCGGCCTAGCGGGGGGGTAGGAAGACGCGGCGGGCCCGCTCTGCCCCTTGCTGCTCTGCCATGCGGCGCACATAGATGCGCCGTGAGGTCGCGCGCCCCCCCCCCCCCCCATGTGCCTCTTCTCCCCCTTCCCTTCCCCCACCGACATACACTTTCACGGAGAGCAACCCGTGCAGTTGCCAGTTTGCCTGCCGGTGCCGCTGCTGCCAAAATAAATATACAAACGTGAAACACCCTGACATGGCGCGACAGGGGAGAGAGGCCATCCGTGTGACACCCTCTCTCCCCTGTCTTCCTGGGCCTGGGGGGGGGGGGGGGGGAGCACTGCCACACACACACATGGTCATGGTTGATTGCCGCTGGCCACCGGGAGGCTGGGCAAAAGCATCAGCCGATGTAGCACGGGCAGACACGCTCACCCCCAGGGGGGAGAGAAAGTGTGAGAAAGCCAGACCACGCCTGGTGGTGTCGTCTCGGCCCGCACATCAAAAAACCGGAACGCAAAAAAGAGGGGGGGCCATATTTCTGTGAAGAAAAGTATATTGTACATTCCGGGGGCGCTGGCGGGACGCATGCGCGCGTGCGCAGCGCGAACACCAACGGGTTCCCCGTGCATCACCGAGAGCGCGAGGGCCGCCTACGAGAGCATGGGAGAGAGAGACCTGCCGCCTGCTCTCATCGAGACAAGGGGGGCCTCCTCCAACGCGAAAGAGGGGCACACACAGCGCGTGCTGGGGAAGAGGGGCGAACGGTTCAACATACCACTGGCTGGCAAGCTGCTGGACTAGCGCATGCGCAAATGCACAGCCGGCCAGCCAGCTCCTCTCAAAGGGAAGGGGAGACACATGCAACGCGCATTTAGGCGGTGGTCTTGGGGACAGTGACCTCAACGTTGACACCGGACTCGATGTTGACGTTGGTCTATGATGAGGCGGCGACGGCGGCACCGGGGGGGGGAGAGAGTGGGGGAGAGGCAGGTGGCGTCAGAAAAGGGCCTCTGGGAGGAGAACATCCGACACTGGGGGCAGCAACAAAGGCGCAAGGGGACGTACGACAGTGCGGGCCTCGGTGATGGTGGCGGTGATGTCGATGACGCGCTTGTGGATGCGCATCTCGAACTTGTCCCAGGTCTTGGAACCCTGACCGTTGGGGGTCTTACGGGTGGTCAGACGCAGAACCTTGGTGGGCATGCGCATGGGACCCTTGAAGGCGATGGAGTCGCGGGTCTTGATCTTCTGGAGGAGGTCGCGGCACACACGCTCGGCCTTCTTGACGTCGGTCGAGGTGATGGTGATGCGGATGGTGGTGGGGAGGGCGGTGGGGGCCTCGAAACCGGGCTTGGTGGCAGCAACAGCGGACATGATGACTGACCACAAGGGGAGGGGCGAGGGGGGAAACGGCGAGGGGCACGGGCACACCCAGACAGAGCGGGTCAGTCGGGAATCGGACAGGGGGCGGGGAAAATGACAGAGGAGAGAGGAGAGAGGAGGAGAAGGAGAAGGAGAGAGAGGGAGAGGGGACGAGGGGATACACACCGAATGAAACGCTCGGACACAAAAAAAAAACAATGTGTGGAATGGCGCAGGGGCCATCAACCTGGGTGGTGCGAGAGAGGAGCCTTCCTCTTCAACCGCTGCGCGGTTCCGTCTCTCCCCCCCCGCCCCCCCCCCCCCCCCCCC